AAAGTTCAACTTCAGGTTCCAACCCCGCCTCCGAAGCGGTTGATGGTGATACAAGTGGCGATTACGAAGGTATTTGGAGCTGCAGCCACACACGTGAGTAATATGCCGTCTACATAATTGCATTTAGGTACCTCTAACAGACCAGCCATAGCCCCCACCCCATAATCCACCAACACAAAAAATAACTCAATATTGTAAATCTGGCACCGAAACTAACAAATAGTGCAGCAGCTTGAAGAAGTGAGTATAAATATGAAATTATGTAATCTAATTTTAAATTGCTGGTGTACGGCAAAGTGGCAGCCAGATTCTTCTGCACAGACAACTGTTTATTTCAAGAAAGTGGTTGTATTACGTGACCGTAAACAAATCAGTAAACGATTATTGTGAAAAGTCATACTTTTATAAACTTGCATTATCGGTCATGTAAATGTATCGATTCTGGTTATGTACGTTAATGTGAGTTCAACTTTCAGCACTCAAAGTTAGCGTTGGCCCATGCTCACCGCGGCACTGATTTAATTATTTTGTTTTATTAAACGTAATTTAATTTTCTACAATATGTAATTTAAACATTAAATAAATTATTAAATTATTGTGATAACTTTTTAAAATAAAAGTGCTATTATGAGCTGTAAATATTTGTGTTCTTTTTATTTTACTCACGTCGTTTGTTTTATTTTTATTTTATTTATTTCTAGGCGCAAACAATAAAAAACAAGAAAACATGAAACACTGGAAACATGGAATACAAAATACATTAATATCAAAACAGGGCCTGTGGATTGCTTTGACAATTACAGCATCAATTACAAAAAATAGAAAATCAGAATTTCAATTAAAAAAATATCAAAAAAATAATTAATATGCAAAAATACAATTATAATATTAAAAAGTATTACAAGGAACAATTGGAATTAATATAAAAAGATCAATAGAAAAGGCACAAAAAATATTTACAATTAGATTCTCAAAAATTCATATTTGCAATTAAAATGTATTTAGATTTAAAATTATTACTATCAAAGTAATAGTTGTTTTAATATATGTTTAAAATTAGTACAATTAATGGCTTGTTCTCTGACATCAATAGGTAAATCATTAAAAATATACGAGAAATGGTAAAAGACAGTGAATCTGAGACAATTGGTACGCGCAAACGGAATTGTAAATCTATCAAGAACATGGCGAATGTTAATTTTGGGGAGGAGCTCAGTTTCAACAATAAATTGACTATGAAAACAAGATAAAACAAAAGAAAGGAGAAGAAACTTAAAGTGAGTAAGGATTGAAGGGATTTGAAGCACTGATAAACGATCGGAGTAACTAAAAGAAGGTATATAATTTTAAAAAGGTCGAGTAAATTTACGTTGAACATTTTCTAAACAATTAATATGGTTTAATTGAAAAGGGTACCAGGCCGGAGGACTTCATATTCAAGTAAAGGCCTAGACAGGGCTTTAAAAATTAACAAAAGAGAAACATGGTTTTTACATCTAATTGTCATTCTCATAAACCAGATATTCTAGATGCTTTGGCTGTGATCATGTTAACGTGTCCTCCACCCCGTCCCTAGTAAGGTTGTTGGAAATCAAAAATCTCAGACACTTAAACTGTTTAACGGGTTCTATAGGCTGTTGACCAAGAAAGTAAGTGTCGACAACAGGTCGATAATTCCTAAATATGTGCAAAGCCTTACATTTCTTAATATTTAGTTGCATTCGATTGTTGTCGCTTCATGAAATTTATTTTCAAGGTTGGCTTGTAGAGTTGTAACATCACAGGATGATATATGGGGGTGATAAATGATAGAGTCATCTGCATATTAGGCCAGTGAAGAAAAAATGTTATTGAAAATCGCAAACAAAAATATTAGAGAAAATAGGGCCTAAAATGCCTTGAGGAACTCCAAAAGAAACATCGCACCAGTCAAAAGTCAAAAAACCAACCTCGAAACATAACTCTTTGTTATTAAGAAACGAACTAAATCAATTAAGTAAAGCGCCAAATACAAATACCAACGTTATGTACCTTATGTAGAAGTGTTAAATGAGGAACTCGGTCACTGGACCAGTCCAAAAAAATAACATCCGATTCTTGGCGGTTTACCTTGGTTGAGTAACGACGCCCAGTATTAAACATATGAGAAATCTGGGTGTTACACGAACGACCGGAAATAAATCCATGTTGGGAGTCAGATAAAATACCTAAAAAATAGAAATATGACTAGATAGTCTGTTAACAATGATCCGCTCTAAAAAGTTGTTACAGTAGAGCATAGAGACTACGTATATCAAAGGAGGTTGCACCTTTGGGAACAGAGACCACATTGGCCTCTTTCTAAGCAAAGTGGAAACTCACCTAGTTGGCGAGAGAGGTTGTATATTTTGGCTAATATGTGAAAAATAACTGAAATACTGGAAATATGTCATTTTAGATGGAATTTAAACATAAATGTATTGATTCCATCCGGACCAGCAGATTTAGATTGATTTAAGGAAATAACTACTTTTTCTATCTCCTCCACCGCAGTCGAAACTCCACTGAATGGGAGCAGGGGTGGCACCAGCGAAGGGCCGGGGTTTATAACCTTTTTTCCTTCCTACTTTTATTTAATAATATAGTCGATTGTTCAGCGGAGCAGTTTAGCAAGCTAAAGATTATTAAAAATTGTCTTAGGAGCACAATGACAGAAGCCAACTTGCCGAGGAAATTTTCTTTAGCGGATATAATAAATTTTCTCAAAAAAATAAGTTTTTGTTTGTCAGTAAGGCCAATGACTAAAATCTTGATGTATAGGCCTACTATGAGACGCAGATACATAAATCCATCGCCACTTTATTAAAATAAAATAAAATGTGCAGGCCTATATATGCCTAAAGTAAATGACATCATACGGGTGAAAGAAGCATGGTTATACATGGCAAAGGATCATGATACTAAAGTTTTAAATAGCATTATACAACAATTTCTTTACACTTTTAAAAATCTACCAGATTTATGTGTCTTACAGTATATTCATTATTTGTTTCTTACAAGAATTAATAAAATAAAAACAAGAAATAAAAAAATAAACGTTGAATTAGTTAAATTTCCTTCAAATTGTCTGACCATTTCTTTCCTCCATGGTCTTACTGAGTTTATAGAGGTAGGCCCTATTTTTCTCAAGATGGTGCACGTGACATGATCTTACTCTCTGTTTTAATCGGATAAATTAGCTGTCCCCTCTGGATCCTAATTGGTGCCGCCGCTGCCATGGGGGAGGGCCCGCATAACCTTCAAATTACTTCATTACATTAGCAACTATTGTTTTTTGGTTTTTTTGGTTTTTTTGTCTTTGACGACCAAAAGACCTTTTATTACATACGGTAATAATAGTATAGAAACAATAACAGAAAAAGCATTTCATCACTCCATTTCAATATAATGATTGATTATGATTGTGACTAATATCAATTGAAATATTTTCTATCTAGTTTCTTAAAAACCATGGAGTAATTAGTTTCACTTTTAGTACTCATTTAGTGAAATAATGTAATTTATAACACTATTTTGACATCTCAGTTGTTAAGATCTGGCATTGGTTATTGGATGACATAAAACCAAGTACTCGATTAAAAATACATTTGGTAGTACAGTACTTAGGCCTAAGTCTTACTACACAGTAGTATTATGCCCAGTAATATGGTATGTATTTCGAAAGGGGAACAATGTAAATGATCCAGTATTTATGATTTACCAAATATATCATAAAAATTAAACAGGCATTTACAACAAGGATATTTAATTTTGATTAATTCAGAGATCTCAAAAAGTTTACAACAAAACAGAAAAAATCGAATATAATGAGGTGTCACATAACCAATCTTGATTTTTACGGTATCATTTTATGGGCGTTTGCGCGAAAATATTTATTAAATTATCATCATTTTTTTTATAAATAGGCCTAAATATTGATTTATTTTAACAATTATTTTTTGCTTAAAGACAATCTTGTTAGCGTCGTTTTGCCAATGTTTTGTTTTTCCAATAATTTTTGCAATACCAAGCCACTTATCGTGTCCAAAACAACATTATTCTAAGTGAGAAGTCACTTACATGTGCAACAACATTAATACACAACAGAACCGTTTAAGAAATATGATAAAACTGAAGTTGAGTTTTCTCTTGCTAAATACTATTGTTTATCTGACTATAATTAGAATGATTATTGTTTATTTGACCGTAATTATAATGCGAAATGTTTATTTGCCCATAATTACAATGGGAAATGTTTATTTCTCCAAAGTTCACAATCAGAACGACACGTGGTGGTATGTTGATCTTCAGTCACCGTCGATTGTATCAAAGATTGTTATATATCACAGAGTTGAATGTTGCCGTAAGTAATGTCAATCACACCAATAATTAATATACCTCCATGATCACACACACATTTTTGTAAAGCAAACCATTACAAACTATATCTTTTCATGGCCTATTATATACTGAATAATTATATCCATACACTGTAATACCTGTCTCTTATACACATCTAGATGTGTATAAGAGACAGGAGACTACGTATATCAAAGGAGGTTGCACCTTTGGGAACAGAGACCACATTGGCCTCTTTCTAAGCAAAGTGGAAACTCACCTAGTTGGCGAGAGAGGTTGTATATTTTGGCTAATATGTGAAAAATAACTGAAATACTGGAAATATGTCATTTTAGATGGAATTTAAACATAAATGTATTGATTCCATCCGGACCAGCAGATTTAGATTGATTTAAGGAAATAACTACTTTTTCTATCTCCTCCACCGCAGTCGAAACTCCACTGAATGGGAGCAGGGGTGGCACCAGCGAAGGGCCGGGGTTTATAACCTTTTTTCCTTCCTACTTTTATTTAATAATATAGTCGATTGTTCAGCGGAGCAGTTTAGCAAGCTAAAGATTATTAAAAATTGTCTTAGGAGCACAATGACAGAAGCCAACTTGCCGAGGAAATTTTCTTTAGCGGATATAATAAATTTTCTCAAAAAAATAAGTTTTTGTTTGTCAGTAAGGCCAATGACTAAAATCTTGATGTATAGGCCTACTATGAGACGCAGATACATAAATCCATCGCCACTTTATTAAAATAAAATAAAATGTGCAGGCCTATATATGCCTAAAGTAAATGACATCATACGGGTGAAAGAAGCATGGTTATACATGGCAAAGGATCATGATACTAAAGTTTTAAATAGCATTATACAACATACAACAAGTTTCCCAAAATACACCCACGAAAAAGGTGATTTTTATAGCAAAAAAAACTGAACTATTCAACTGGGCTGTTACCCCCTGCCAACGATGTGTGTGCTGTGTCTTGGTTACGAAGCGTTTAATTTGATTTGCCACTGACGCTTTTGATTGGTTGTCATACCTTCGACAGTCTGCGCGTATCCTGTTACGCAACGTACGCAACAAGTTCGTACGTCACGTCCCAGAATGTAAACACGGAATTAAAACTGAAATTGTCTCTGTAATATTTAATTACAGGGTACCTGCTTAGTTCTATGACAACACAATTTTAATTTAAATACAATAATAGGTACGATTAATTGACAAATGATGAGGCCTGCCCAGTGCGTGCCGACCCAGCTGAGACTCAGGAGTCAGGAAAATGTATGTGTTCTTTCATCAATAGGCCCTATAGGAATAGGCTTATTAATATATTTCTTAACTAAAAACACGAATTAATTTTTTTATAGCTAATACAATGAAAAACATAAATTGGAAAATTGTGTAATTGCTGACATTTTAAAAAATATAATAATGACTGATAATTGATTGATTTGAAATAGGCTTACTATTCTACACAACACAAAACTCGCTTTTTCACTGAAAGTTTTGCTGAATTTCTTTAAGACACTTTTTACCACTATTTTGTTTATTTATTCTTTCTCCCCCCCCCCCCCATTAACTGTTTAGCTAGACACCGCCATCACTTGAGCACCTGTGAGTCATGCATCGGCGGGCTTCACGCCTTAAATTGCCGATACATGGTGCGGTGTTGGTCTGGTTCGGCTAGGCGTCTAGAGTGTTGTTAGTTTAGGTTCATGTTTTTTGGGGGGTTTTTTTTCTTGTCCGTTTCCTTCCGTTGTTGTCAAGCGCCTCGAGGTTGATCCAACGGGAGGCGTTATACAAATTGCAAATCACCGCCACCGCCACTGCCTTGTCCTCAAAATATTCGAATTCATTTATGTCTATCATGTCAATGTATAATTTTCTACTTCGTGCATTAGTATTTATTTTATACATTTATATATATATATATATATATATGTGTGTGTGTGTGTGTGTGTGTGTGTGTGTGTGGGTGTGTGTGTGTGTGTGGGTGTGAGGGGAGGGGTGTGTGTGTGTATGATTGGCTACACTTAGGTCATTTACAAGCAATGGTCTCCAAGCCGATTACTTTAAAGTTGCGTTACATGAGTTTTGTCAGGCCAACGAACGCAAAGTTTGGATGGATTATACACCTTCTACCAATTTTTTTTTCTTCGAAATTGCTTTGTGTGGAAAAAAATCTTTATCTGCCCGTCTGCAGCTGTTCGGTAAATAACATAAGACAAACTTGTAATATTTTGGATTTGTTTCAACAGAAGAACAGTTGAATGGTGCTGTTGTTCGTGTTGGCAATAGTACATCTTCACCGTTTACCAGAAATACCCAATGTGGACCTACTATTACAATGGAGATGATAACAGAACCTTACAAGGAGCCAATTGAAATGACTTGCACCCCGCACACGACAGGTCGATATATCACTATATATTTAAATAGTTCCGAACCGTTGGTCCTTTGTGAGGTACAAGCGTACAAAGGTATCGTTAATCAGAATGATCTGTTTTTGAATTATCTGTCCCACAATTTACAATCAGTGGGGCGTCATATATCATCCAATGATTTCTATTCCCATTATATTTATCAGTATCATGGGTTATTCTTACTCTACTAGATATCACAGAACATTGTTTTTCACAGAACATTGTTTTCCACACTTTAGACTCATTATCTCCCTTCCAACATCATTATCTCTGTCTCCATTATTGTTTTTCTCATTTTATCACCCTTCTTTATTTATTGCTGACTGTTTACTTGTATTATTTGATCTGGTATTTTCCAACTTGTGTAATCAGTTAAGCTGATGAAGTCTTGAGGACAAGACGAAATATTAGTTTACTGAATGAAAATTATTTTGTGTTCTACTGTCTAACTCAATTTTTTTGCATC